TGTGTGTGTGTGTGTGTGTGTGTGTGTGTGTGTGTGTGTGTGTGTGTGTGTGTGTGTGTGTGTGTGTGTTGGTGGCACAAAGGCGAAAGGGGATACAACAACATCAAAGGACAGCTGCACCAGCAGACGCACTCGAGGGTATTGAGAGACTTGGAGGTGCGCAACGTTTCGGCCAGTGCCGCTGCACCTTGCTGTGCCACTTTGTTGTTTCTCAGCCTACCAAGTTATAAGCACAACAGATGTGAAGTGTCAGAAACGACCATCTACACATGCAGACAGACAGACAGACAGACACGCACATGCACACACACACACACACACACAGAGGCAGGCAGGCAGACACAGACACCATTAAGTGATGCAGCAACACCGTACCGCAAGACGCAGAGCGATGGCAGCTGCTTGACAGCGTGCGCAAGGGCCGTCGCGCCACGATCACCAAATATGTTCTTGGTCAGACTGCGAGCGAAGCAGATGTAACGTGACATGCATTGTGAGTCGTGGTAAAGGCGTGCGTGTGGGACAAGTGTACCCATAATGCTATAATGCGTGTGTGTGTGTGTGTGTGTGTGTGTGTGTGTGTGTGTGTGTGTGTGTGTGTGTGCGCGTGTGTGTGTGTGTGTGTGTGTGTGTGTGTTCAGAAGTGTATATGGGCGCAAAGCGAAATGGTCACAGCCAAATTTGCCGCATCAATTAGTGCATGCAGGCACGCACCTCAGGTGTGTCAACGCTGGTAGATATGGGAGTGCCGCTGCCAGGGTTTCCAGCCCTGCATCAGATAAGCCAGCACCATCCAAACTGTGGGCGTTTGATTGGATACGCATCAACGCGCGAGCGAGCGGGTTGAGGAAGCGTGTGAGGCACCAGGGTATGGATATGTGGCAAGAGGAGGTAACGCGCTTGCAGGTCAGCAACACGATGATGCAAAGCAGCACAAGCACCACGCACGGGGACAAACCTGAGGCGTGTGAGACCCGGGAGTTTCATCAGCGCACTTGTGATGTGCGTGACACCCGCGTCATGAATGTCGTCGTTGGCCACTCTGCAACGTATGTGTGCGTGCGTGAGTGAGTGAGTGCGTGAGTGAGTGAGTGAGTGAGTGAGTGAGTGAGGGAGAGAGTGTGTGGGTGGGTGAGTGAGCGAGGGAGAGTGTGTGAGTGAGTGAGTGTGTGTGTGCGTGCGTGAGTGAGTGTGTGTGCGTGCGTGAGTGAGTGTGTGAGTGTGTGTGCATGCGTGAGTGAGTGAGTGAGTGTGCGTGAGTGAGTGAGTGAGTGAGTGAGTGAGTGGGTGAGTGAGTGAGTGAGTGAGTGAGTGAGTGAGTGAGTGAGTGAGTGAGTGGGTGGGTGATTGCGTGTGTGTGTGTGTGTGTGTGTGTGTGTGTGTGTGTGTGTGTGTGTGTGTGTGTGTGTGTGTGTGTGTGTGTGTGTGTGTGTGTGTGTGTGTGTGTGCGTGTGTGTGTTTGTGTGGGGGCGGTGCTCATTTCTGAGTTTCCATGTACGCCAGATACACCGCCAAACGTACTCAAGGGATGTGAGGGATTTGAGTTGGGAGAGCGCTGGAGCAAGCACTTCCATGCCGTCAGGACCCAGGTCGTTGTAGGAGAGCCTGCAAGCATGTGAGTGGGCCAGCAGCGTTCATGGTTGATGGGTGACGGTGGCAACACACTTGTGACATGTCCACGTGTATGTATCCCAAATACACATCGCAAAACGCTCAGCATTACTTGATGGATTGAACGGTGGTTTTGCCGCGGAGTGCATCGAGAAGGGCCTGCAGTCTGTCACCCCTGAGCTGGCAGTTGTTGAGCCTGTGTCAGATGGAAGGGAGGGGAGTGTGAGGTTATGAACAACCAGCGTGTGTGTGCGTGTGTCTTGTGTGCGTGTGTCTTGTGTGCGTGTGTCTTGTGTGCGTGTGTCTTGTGTGCGTGTGCGTGTGTG